TGAACCTTTCCCCATTGTAAGCTGGTTCTTCACCATTCGTGACAGTGACAGGCTGATAGAGATACCACTCCGCGGGGAAGGGTGGCAGCATGCAGTGACCAGCTGAGACAGGGAGACCTGCTTCCCAGCAGCCTAGCCTGAGTGGCATAGGCATTTGCTTTGTTCATCTCCGTCCTCATCCAGTCTCTTTGCCACTCAGTGATGCTATTCTATTTATTTATTTATTTATTTATTTATTTATTTATTTATTTATTTAAGATTTCTGTCTCTTCCCCACAGCCACCTCCCATTTCCCTCCCCCTCCCCCATCAAGTCCCCCTCCCTCGTCAGCCCAAAGAGCAATCAGGGTTCCCTGCCCTGTGGGAAGTCCAAGGACCACCCACCTCCATCCAGGTCTAGTAAGGTGAGCATCCAAACTGCCTAGTCTCCCACAAAGCCAGTACGTGCAGTAGGATCAAAAAACCCATTGCCATTGTTCTTGAGTTCTCAGTAGTCCTCATTGTCTGCTATGTTCAGCGAGTCCGGTTTTATCCCAGGCTTTTTCAGATCCAGGCCAGCTGGCCTTGGTGAGTTCCCGATAGAACATCCCCATTGTCTCAGTGTGTGGGTGCACCCCTCGCGGTCCTGAGTTCTTTGCTCGACAGGCCCTGTTTCGTTTCTCAGTCATGGGTCTCAGGTCCCCTCCCCACCAATGCTGTGGACCTCAAGTGATTCTTTCCAAGACAGGTACTAGGGCCTGCTTTCCCTCCCCCCTCAAGAAAAAAGAAAAAAAAATATGTTCAAAAATGCTGTCAGATTGTGACCTTCTTTGGAAATAGTGTCACTGCAGATGTCATTAGTTAAAGTGAGGTCACCCCAGATTCCAGAAGGCCCTTTGTCTCACAAAGCCAGTGCCTTTACATGAAGAGGCACGCAAAGATAGACATCCAGGGAGGTGCATCGACAGGATTAAAGACATGGTGGGAAGCCCAGGAAAGCTGAGGATTGTCACCCCGTCAGCAGGAACTTGAAGTGACCCAATGACAGGTCTCTTCTGCAGAAATAATTTGGGACAGGGAGTTGATTTTTTTTTCCTTTCCCCAGTAGAGTTTGACTCCAAGCTATGTGACTTTGGATACATACTTGCCTTCTCTGTGTTTCTGCTTGCTCCCGTATAAGAACAATGTGACAGCACCCCCTGCCCCGAGGTTGCTGCAGAAATTAAGTGTTGTAATGTCACAGCCAGTTTTGCCTGATCTCCATGAAGGTCAGCTGCGCTGTCATCCAGGGCCCCACCCTGCTTATCTTTATGCCTCCTGCCTCATCCCCTGCCCTTATTGAAAACCCAATTTTCTTCCCTCCAACCTAATCTTCTCGCGCACATTGGACTCAGCTCATTCATCCATTGCTGAGCAATTTCTCCTTGGAGCCAGTGGTGTTGGAGAGAGAACAAAGGTGAGGGCTCCGTGGGCTGAACAAGTGAGGGGAGACACAGCTTTCCTTTGGGGAAACAGGGTGTGTAGGAAAATGTCATTCATATGCTAAAAGTCTTCCTGGGCTCAATTAAGCCTCTAGACTTCACGGCTGATTAGCATCTCATCCCCCTCAGCCTTGGCAGCCCTGAGTGCAGAGGGTGAGGCTGGCCCTTCAGCCCAGCATTTCTGGAAACCTCCTGCAGGATGCTGAAAATGAACCTGGCTGGAGACAAGCTCCTGGGGGAGATGACTGATGACTGTTTGGGAAGACCTCCTCTCTCCACCTTGATTTAAAGCCAATAGAAGATTTCATAGACAGTGCACATCCCGCAGGGATGAACGGGAAGAGAATCCACTCGCCACCCGCTGCACACCCCTGGGGCCCAGCAGGTGTGAGACACACTGTCAAATATGCAGTGTCACCATACAGACTGTTGTCACCCACAGCTCTGAGCCTGTGAGGGATGTGCACACATCTGTTTCCACATGCTTGTAGCTTGAATATGAAATGTCTCCCATACTCTCACACGTTCGAACTCTTGGTCCCTGGCTAATGGTGAGTTCCAGAAAGCTGTGACTTTCAGATGTGGACCCTCACTGGAGGATGAGAATCACTGTGAAGAAATCTTGAAGGTATTTTATTCTAATCTGGGACCTATATCCTCTCCACTTTTTACTTTCTGTTCCACCTAGATGCTACTACTGAATTTAGGGTTATACCCTATGCTCCAACAAGCCAGATTCAACCTACCATCCTTGAAAAACCAATTAAAAGAGCCAAATTAATAATGGGAAAAAAGGAACAGGAGATTTATTCTATGTGGCCACACTGGGAAGAGAGACAGATTTAGTGATCCCACCCCCACTCAAGTGCATCTTAGGAGTCTTAAGGTAAGGTTAAGGGTTGAGTAGAGGGCCAGATTATGCACTGCTAAGCAGTCCTCATCAAGGTGAGGTCTTCTCATCATTGTCTTGGGTTCCACTCTCTTGCAAGGCAGTCTGAAAATCTTCTTCCAGGAAAAAAGTTTCTGTTTTATTTAGTCCAAATTTTAGACTTTTTCATTTTCTTTAACTTAAAAAAAAACTTTATGTCTATGGGTGTTTCACCTGCATGCATGCCTACAAATCATTCCTGATGTCCACAGAGGTCAGAACACATAAAATTCTCTGGAACTGGGGTTACAGATAGTTGGGAGCTGCTATATGGGTGCTGGGAGGTCCTCTGGAAGCATGGCAGTCTTCTGCCAGCATGAACTTCATGGAAGAAATTACATTTTCTTGGGATCCATTGTTTCAATTGTCTGACAGTCAAAAAGAGGAACAGTGTCTCTAGAATAGCTTAATTCCTTCCAGGCTGGATAAAATTCAAGGAAGTGAAAGGTCCCAGCTTGGCTAGAGCTTGGAGTTGTGGAATCAAGCAATCTCCCACCATACCTTCCCCTCTGTGATAGACTGTATCCCTTCAAACTATGAGCCAAGATAAACCTTCCTCCCTTAAGTGCTCTTGCCAGGATTTGGTCATAACAAGAAAAATAATGAATACAGAACCATTTTCATTTCATGGTCTCAAACCTCCCATGTGCCCAAGTCAGGTAAGAGAATTGAAATTCAGAGGGTGATGAGATGTGCCCAGGCCCCCATCACCAATCTGAGTCCCTTTCTTCCTCTGTCTTCTGCAATAAACTTGGATGCCTTTGAGACTCTGGTCAAAGGTCTGGTTTAGAAGACAACATTCTGGGAAGGAGCACTGGATCACTGCTGCATTGTTGGGACTTGATAGAGGAAAGTAATACTAGACAGTCCCAGCTGCTGGGAAGGCATCTAATGAAAGAAGGAGCTTTTGGAAACACAATGTATGAGAACTTGTGGACCTGCCAGAGTAGCATTCTGACCAACATCACATTCTGTCTGATAGCTGGGGGAACAAAGCTTATTTTTATTCCCCCATTCCTGTACTAGGGATGGAACCCAGGATCTTGCATGCACAACATTGAACTACATCCCATCCTTTTCTAGTGGAGAGAATTTTGACTTGGGATTAGAATAAAATTTCCAACAATTTCCCAAATGGCCCTAAACATGCCTTTGCTGTATTTCTGCAAAGCAATGTTCTCAGCACTGATGAAGATGATGAAAAATGCCTTTTTCTTGGGAGGTATTCCCATTAGTTGGGTGCCACTAATTTCTCTTCATGAGAATTTCTAAGGTATAAGCTGTACAGCCAACCAGGAGATAACCAGAGATTCTCCACAGGCAGTCAGCAGACAAAGTAAGACTCTAATGACTTACCATTAGTTTTCTAGGACAGGACTTCTTTAAAATTCCACTCACAACCTCTTTTTATCCAATATTTTTTTCATGACCCCAGGTATATAAAATAGGTGTAAAAGCTATAGTGGAATTTATTTTAAAACAATTCTTTGGTATATGTAGATTTTCACCATTTATTAAAAATGAAAACCAATTTCTAGCCTAGTGAGGTGGATATGCTTATTTTTAACATAAATAATTAAGTGTCAGCTAAATATTTGATACTATAGGACACAGAGCATCTTCAGTGTTTTTCAGAGTCGATAGCTTCGATTTTTATCATCTTCATCAATGCTGAGAACATTGCTTTGCAGAAATACAGCAAAGGCATGTCTAGGGCCATTTGGGAAATTGTTGGAAATTTTATTCTAATCTCAAGTCAAAATTCTCTCAATAAGTTAGCAGTTCAAACAGCAATTTCAAAAATAAAATATTCTGGAGGCTGGTTGTGGTGGTACGCAGCTTTAATGCCAGCACTATGGAGAAAGAGGCAGGCAGGTAATTGTGAATTCAAGGCCAGCCTGTTCTAAAAAGTAAAGTTCCAGGTCAGCCAGGAATACATAGTGAGACCCTGTCTCATAAACAGATAGGTAGGTAGGTAAATAGATAAATAGATAATATACTTAAGATAGATAGATTGATAGACATACAGATAGATATGTATTTAAAAATTACAGCTGTAATTCTAGCATTCAGGATTACAGAGGCAGGAGGATTGTTGCAAATTTGAGGCCACCCAAGTCTGCATAGTGAGTTTGAGGTCAGTTGGCTATGCAGTAAAACCGTATCTCAAAAAACGAACAAACAAAGAAAACGAAATAAAATGACAGGGTTGTTTTTTTTTCCCCTCACAGCCCGTTTTCAAATATTAATTTGTTTTCCATTTTTACTAAATCCTTTGTTTTCATGAAGACACTTGAGTTTACTTAGCCCTCCTCAAGATGGCGCCATTCTTTTCCATGACCCAAGCCTCTCCACTCAATGTAGTATCTGTTGCAATGCAAGCTATGTTCCGCCCGCCTCAAGACGACGACAAAACTAGTCATTCTCGCCTCACTTTCTGCTCTCTTCAAGACGACCACAACGATCAACTTCAACCCTAGGGCACCCCCCCTCCTGACCTTCTCAAAATGGCGACGAGGCGAAGCGTCACCTCATAATGACGCTTTCAAGATGGCGCCGAGATCGTAAATCTGTGTCGCAAAATTACGCAAACTCAGCGTCGCTGCAAAGACACTTCCGGTTCCGGCTCGGGGCGGGCTCATAAGGCCTGACAGAGGCTTCGGGGAGGCTAGGTGTTGGGTTCTGGTATCCTGGCGGCACGATGGACCGAAAGAAAAAACCTTTGGACGTTACAGCCTCCTCGGTGAGTTCGAGTGTGGCTTAGCTGCGTGCTCCGAGTTTTCTCCGCTTTTCTCAGTCGAGAATGGCGACCTAACCTGTTGCCTCACGCAGGTCAGGAGCCTGGACTCTCCGTCTGTCTTTCTCCCCGCGGGGACCCTCGACAATTCCTTATTCTCAGGATCCTGAGCCCGGTTTCGGCAGGCACCTGGACTAGGCTCAGGGAGCATCCTGCGGGTCAGCCGCCACAGCCCAGCCAGGCCTCGCCGTCTGCGGGGACTTGGAGTTTATGGGGCCCTTCCTGGCGTCTCCAATACAGAGATTCGACTCCCCAGGACCCCAGAATACCTAGGGTCCCCCTAGCAGGACCCAGACAAGTTAGTTAGTGACTTGTGGGATGGGCTGCCTCGGGCCGCGAGAGCTGACAGGATTTTGTAAGAATTTGGATTCAGTGCTTATACACTAAATTCAGTAGGGTGTAGTTGCATGTGAGAGGCCAGTCTCTGTGATTCAGAGGCCAGCCCGGGCCACATAGTTTCAGGATAGCCTGGGCTACACAGTGAGACCCTGTCTTTAAAAACCAAACCAAAACAAACTAAAGCCAGATTATCCAGAGTATAGCATATTCAAAAACTACAATACAAATGAAATCCAGGAACTGGTCATTTTGTGAGCTTAAATTCAGAAGTAGTTGTAGAATAGAAAAACATATAACTAGATAATTGATGCATTTAAGAAGAGCTAAAAGGCAAAATTTTTCTTCTTCCTTCCTTGAAGAATTTTGAATATTGGGTCTTGGAGTGAGACTCCTTTACACTGTTAAAATTCCTACCAGCAGCCGGGCTGTGGTGGTGCACGCCTTTAATCTCAGCACTCGGGAGTCAAAGGCAGGCGGATCTCTGTGAGTTCGAGGCCAGCCTGGTCTACAAGAGCTAGTTCCAGGACAGGCTCCAAAACCGCAGAGAAACCCTGTCTCGAAAAACAAAACAAAACAAACAAACAAACAAAAAACCAGCAGTACCTTTAAATAGAATTCTTTTAAATGGAAATTACTAAACTCAGTCCACCCTGCCCCCCCAAATGGTATGGGGCTGGAGAAATGACTCAGAGAGTGGTTAAGAATACTGACTGCTCTTCCAGAAGACCCTGGTTTATTCCTAGCACCCAGATAGCAGCTCACAACTTTCACAATTTTCCAGAGAGTCTGACACCCTCATACAGATATACACGCAAGCGAAACACTACTGCCCCAAACATAAAAAAAGGAATAATTTTTTTAAAAAACGATTTATTTTGTTTATAGCTGTTCTGCCTGCATCTTCAAATGTGCAACACATGTGTGCCTGGTGCCTTCAAAAGCCAGAAGAGGGCATTGGATTCTCTAGAACTAGAGTTGTGTATGAATGGTTGTAATGGTTGTATGCCACATGGGGGTTCTGGGAACCTAACCTGAGTCTTCTGCAAGAGCAGCAAGTATTCTTAACTCCTGACTCATCTCTTTATTTAGTCCTGAACTCAGTCATTTTTCTTTTCCTTGTCAGCCAGATGCCTGTGCGTATAGCCACTTGTCAGCCAGTAGTGCCTGACTTACAGATGCCTGTGCGTATAGCCACTTGTCAGCCAGTAGTGCCTGACTTACAGATGCCTGTGTGTATAGCCATTTGCCATCACATCATTTCCTCCCACTTGCTAGGACTCATACAGCGGAGAGGTGGGTGCCTCATCTCTTCACCTGTGCCCCCCCCATCACATTTTCAAACAAACTAAGTCACTGGACAGTGGTGGTGCACGCCTTTTATCTGCTCAGCAGTTGGTAGGCAGAGGCAGGCGGATCTGTGTGAGTTTGAAGCCAGCCTGGTCTACAGAGTGAGTTCCAGGACAGCCAGGGCTATACAGAGAAACCCAGTCTCAAAAAAACAAAACCAAGCCAAATCAAAGCAACAAGAACAACAACAACAAAAAAGTAAAGCTTGACCCTGTACTTCTGGTTATATGTCCCACAAGCAGAAAGCGCTTCAGAAGTTAGTTGAATCCGATCTGTACCTTTATGCAGATTTCATTTGTTTACCATGTCACTTTCCTGTTGGCAGAAAAAAAAAGCCTTGAGTAGTAAAAGTTGGAGTAGAACTAAATTTGTAGCAAAACCACAATGAAACCCAATGTTGTTTAATTTTGTGTGGAGTTCTATATTTAAACTTGTGTTTCTTGTCCATGTTCAGGAAGCCAAAATCTTGGAGAATTACAGTTGCTTAGCAAGCCAGTCAACTGCCACAGTGAATGAAATATTGTTGTTTACTTTCTTGTTTTATTCTAGTTGGTAGATCTTAAGGCTGAGCTCTTCCGAAAACAAGAAGAATTCAAACAAGAAAAACTTCTAAAAGATTCTGGAGTCTTTGGAAAACCAAAAACAACTAATAAGGTAAAAATACCTCTACTGATTCCAAATATGGCAGAATTGCATTATAAGTTTTTGAAAAATGTCAGTGGTTATCAGTAAATAAGTAAATATAAAGAAAAAAACTCCCTGACTTATAATTGAACATTTGCATAAACTTTGTTAAATATTAAAATTAGTAAGATTATTTAATACTCTTAAAGAAAGACTTATTTTAAGTATATATGTTGTATGTGTGCTTGTATGTATACATATGTCATGCTTGTATATGCCATCTATGTGTAGATGCCCTCAGAAACCAGAAAAGGGTGTTGAATCCCCTGGATCTGGAGTTATATGTAGTTGTGAGCCAAGTAATATGGGTGCTGGGAACTGAACACAGATTCTATGCAAGAGCAGTAAGCCCTCATAATGAATGCTAACCTATCTCTCCAGTTCCTATATTCTTCTTTAACATGCTGTTAATAATTGGGTTGTTCACATTCTCATGGAAGATTAGCATGTATTTTGTGTCCAAATAGAGATAAACAACTGTAAAATATAGAAATAGACTTAAAATATGAAAGTCTTTAAGAGTTTTAAAACTTTTATAGGTAGTAATCTGCTTACTATATTCCTTTGTATTCTGCTCGTATCCATTAGAATATTGAATGATGTTCATGGGTAAATGTCAGTTGAGAAATAACTCAGCGAAGTTCAGAAAGAAATTCTTCAGGTGATTTAGGAGTTTTCCTCAGCTCCAGCTTTGTCATGGCCTGTCACGTCTGTTGTAAGCTGTAAGCTAGCTGTCAGAATAAGCAGTTCTTTGATGATTCATGAGATCCAAGGATTTTCTTTCCTGTTTGATGCTTTGTGATCACGTGGTTTTATTTTGTTCTTTTGAATCGTTCTCCAGAAGCCAAGTATCTGGACCAAGCAGAATGCTGGTGTTTCCAGTCGAGCAGAGAAGGATGCAGAACAGAAGCTTGAAGAGCAGAAGACTTTAGACAAAGCAAGGTAGTTACACCTGAAAGGGGGTTACCAGACCAAGAAATAAACGTTTAGTTGGTACTCTTCCTGATGTACAGATATGATAGACATCTTTCTGGGCAAATGCTTTATGAATGTAAATACAGTGTCCTTTGATATCTGAGGGGCATTGGTTGGTTCTAGGTTCCTACTCTTCCTCAGATACCAAAGCTCAAGATGCTCCAAATAGATAAACTAATGTGTGTGGTCTGTGAAAACAATCAGTATACTCTAAAATCTTTTCTAGATTACTTGCTATGCCTAATATGGTGTAAGCACTTTGTAAATAGTTGTTATTCTGTATTGTTTAGGGAATAATGCCAAGAAGGAAAATATGTACAAACAGATGCACAGTATATATTAGCAATAATACCATTGTTTTGGAATAGTGTTTCTTTCCAGGTAGTTGAATCTGGAGATGTGACTCTAGATGTGGAGGGCCAGCTGTCCCCTAAAAATGCTGTAATTTACACATATCTGTTGTCTTACACAAAGAAAAAAATTGAGCTTAGAAGATGAAGTAGGGTCCTGTTTTAAGCTTTTATCACATACTAAATATGTCAATTTTTTAAAAAAATTTGGGAAATAACTATTTGTTCTGGAAGTTGGCCAGTGTCCTCTCAGAACTTCTGGTTCTGTTTCTTGGTGCTGGCAGCCTTGATGATCTTGAGCACATTGAAGAATACTGTCTTAACTTGGGCCTACACCCTCCCATGGTAATAATGTCACTAGTCTGTACATTCCCAAAAAGGGGACAGGCAGACAGATATGTTCTTGTGGTGCTTCTCAAAGCAATTATACTTTTGGATATAGTAGATCTAGTTCTAGATCATGACAGTGGTCCTCTGCACCTTCATCTTGGTCACGACACCAGACAGGATCTGCTCTCAAATAGAGATGTTACTAGTGAAGAGGCATTTCTTGTCTGTTTAGGTGCCCTGGATGGCCTCCTTGAGCATGTTGAGCTTAGACTGATGCTCTTGTAGTACTGAGGGAGCCTTTCCTTGCCTATAGAACCCACTTGTTGTTTTAAAAGATCATGGACTGCTTTTGGTAAACACACTCAGTCTGAATATCTGACATCTTTTTGGCAGACTGAGAAAAAGAAAAGGCTGTATCAACAATTTTTTTGTTGTTATTGTTGCTTGCTTGTTTGTTCATTTTTTTTTTCGAGACAGGGTTTCTCTGCAGAGCCCTGCCTACCCTGGACTCACTCCTTAGACCAGGCTGGCCTTGAATTTAGAGATCTACCTGCTTTGAGTCCTGGGATTAAAGGGTTGGGCCACCACCACCTGGCCTATATCAACAATTTTTTAAAACTTGTATTTCTAGGGATGGGATCCCAATGGTCTTGTCTGCTGAACCACATCTTCAGCTTAACACTTTGTTGTTGTTTCGAGACAAGCAAGGCTTCTCTGTAACTTTGGTGCCTGTCCTGGAACTAGCTCTTGTAGACCAGGCTGGCCTTGAACTCCCAGAGATCCGCCTGCCTCTGCCTCCCTAGTGCTGGGATTAAAGGCGTGCACCACCTCTGCCCGGCTAGGAGACCTGTCCTTTCTTAAACAAATGGAGGAGTGAATTAGGGGATGGGAACAGAGCAGGTATTGGGAAGAGGAACTGGGAGGAGAGGAGGGAGGGGAAACTGTGACTGGGATGTAAAATAAATAAATACATTTATTTATTTAAAAATAAAAGTCCCGGGGCTGGAGAGATGGCTCAGTGGTTAAGAACATTGCCTGCTCTTCCAAAGGTCCTGAGTTCAATTCCCAGCAACCACATGGTGGCTCACAACCATCTGTAATGAGGTCTGGTGCCCTTTTCTGGCCTGCAGACATACACACAGACAGAATATTGTATACATAATAAATAAATATTTGAAAAAATAAAATAAAAATAAAAGTCTCATGGTGTGTTCTAGTTAGGTGATAGAACATTAGTATTTAGAGACCCCCAAATTTCCCTCGCAAGCCAAGAATATAATTTGAAGAAAAGTAAAAGAAACATTCTAATACCTGTTTCCTAAATTTACTAATTAATATATTGTCATATTTGCTTTCCTCTGTCCTTCTGCCACACCTGTAGAGGAAGACTTTAAGTGTCATAAAAATTTACCTGTAAATATTTCAGTATATATCTATCTGAACAAGGACATTATACTACTATATTTAATACTGCTGTGTGGCTCATATTTCAGATTTTACCATTGTCCCAACACAGCTTTGTCCTAAATAGGTTTTATAAAAATTCAGGATTCACAAAGTGAGTTCCAGGACAATCAGGGCTATTACACAGAGAAACTCTCTGTCTTTCAAAAAAAATCAGGGGAAAACAAAATCAGGATTTAAAGATTATATTCCATTCATGCCTATAGTTCTCAAATCTCTCCACTTTTTCCCTTTTTTTGTCAGTTACCCTGCTGACATTTTTTTTTTTTTTTTTTTGGTTTTTCGAGACAGGGTTTCTCTGTAGCTTTGGTGCCCGTCCCGGAACTAGCTCTTGTAGATCAGGCTGGCCTCGAACTCCCAGAGATCCTCCTGCCTCTGCCTCCCGAGTGCTGGGATTATAGGCGTGCGTCACCACTGCCCGGCCCCTGCTGACATTTTTAAGTGTCCAGGTCAGTTTTTTTTTTTTCTGCCATGTCCCATGTCTGAATGAGGTTATAATAAAGTTTTTTGTTAGGACTGCTATGTAGTCTTTGTATTTTACAATGAGTTTTACCTAGAAGTTCATAAAAGTTCATATTGTCAGCTTGACAATTTTTATTGGTAATGAGTTCAATCACTTGCTTAGAAAAGTCTGGTAGAATTCTCTACTGCGAATATGCCCTGTCTCCTATGTGGCTAATAGTAACCTGGGGTGGGAAGCTTTGAGACTAAGTATCCTGGTCACTACTATATTTCCATGGGTGCTTTGTATTGTTAGTAAGCCATGCTGCTGCTGAATTATTCGTGGATTTCCTCTGCTTATTAGCTAGCATTCTTTTGTAAAGAAGAGGCGGTAGTCTCCTGTGCCTGGAGAATTCTAAGTTGTAACATCTGCCGTGGTAGCCATCTGCTTTGGTACATGATAGGAACTCTGCAGCTTCATTGGACTGGGGAGATGTCTCAGTTGGTCAGATGATTGCTGTACAAGCTTGAGGACCTGATAGAAAAGTCAGGCATGGTTGTGTAGATTTGTAATCCCACTGCTGGGGAGCAGAGATCTCTGGGGCTTACTGTCCAGCCAGCTTAGCTTGTTTAGGGATCTCCAGGTCCTACTAAGAGACCCTGTCTCAAAAACAAGGTGTTAACTCCTAAGGAATGATACCTAAGGTCAATCTGTGGCCTTTACATGTATGTACACTGACTGATGCTTGGGCACCCAAAGGAACACACATGGAACCACCTTGCTAACATATGACAGTGAAGATGAGATGATATTACTTTGTGTTATCAAGTTAATTTTGTGGCAATCTGGAGAAACAAAAAAGAAGAAAAGAATTTGCTTTTCCGTCAGTCTGGAGGAGCTGAGACACAGAAAGGAAAAGTAACTTGTCATAATCATGTGAACTAGGGTTTTTGTAGTCTCTTTGCCCCATTAGGAGTTAAATTTCCCATTGTGATTAATGAGATCATGACACAGATGGCCTCTTTGGGGCTTCTATTTTTAGGCAATTAGAGAATTCCTTGCCCTTTTAGCTTGTTACTACTTGCTAAATGCCATCAACATTATGTGAGCAGCGAGTCTGCTTTGTCGACATACCAGGGTTGTTGTCTTATATTAATATGTAGTTTCAGTGTATTATTTGTGATATTGAAATAGATATTGTCATGTTTTTAACAAATTAAGTTGGTATAAAGAAGTATAGTAAGCCACAAATGACCAGGACACTGGTCTAAAAACACTATGGCAAAGAATCTTGCCTTGAGTCTGGTGATCCTTTTGGCAGACTAAATAGAAAATGTTTACATACATCTCTCTTACCACATGTAACTTAAGTTGCATTTAGCAGCTAGGTTGTTGGGCCTTAACTCAGTGCATCCCATTTGTTCACTCATCAGATACTTATTGAGCAGTTACTCTGTATCAGGTATGGCTTTCAGTCCTGCTTTCACTAATGAAGTAGATGGAGTGGGTCTGAGGTCTCTTCAGGACAGGGCAGTTAGCACCTGTTGTGCCCATCTTTTCATGGCAGGCCTCAGGGGAGGTGTTAACTCTCAGCTGTCAGGGTGATAGTTAGTGGTAGAAGGGACAGTTATAAGACCATTTCTAATTCTTGTCTGTTTTTCTCCTAGGGAAAAATTGGAAGAAAAGGCCAAATTATATGAAAAGATGACTAAAGGAGACTTTCCAGGTAAACAAATGTTTATTTGTATTTCTTTATTGTCTACAATTTGTACAGATCCTCAGTATTATATTATCTGTTTAAATGATTCTAAGAGGGAGAAATTTAAAAAACCAACTCAAAACTTTAATTTCAGTGGTTATATAGAGATAAGAAAATATTCAGTAATATTCCAGTGGTTCACTGGGTGCCAGGCAGGGACAGGAGAGTATAGGAAACCAATTCTACAGCCCTCACAGCAGGTCTCATCTGGTGGAGGAGAGCACAGCACCAGGAGACAGTTTAAACAGACCAGCCTTGCATGTAAGGACATCCATGCATATGGGAAAGATAAGTGTGCCAAATTATGGGTTATGCTGCCTCTTTTCCTGTTTCAGTTTTATCTCTGTGATGTGCTTTTTTTTTTTAACTTCATGGTTTTGCCCTATTGCATTTGTGTGTGAGTGTGGGCATATTCATGTTACAGCATAGGTATGTAGTATGTGTTGATATTCACCTCTTGCTTTGTTTAAGGCAAAATTTGAAGGCTCTGTTCTGCCTCCCATCTTGCTGCCATAGGAATACTGGGATGTGCTGCAAACTATGCTTGATGTGGGTTCTGGGGATTCAAACTCAGGTCTTCATGTTTGGGCAGCAAGTACTTACGCACTGAGTCATCTCACTTTCTTTCCTTCTTTCTTTTTTTTTTTTTTTTATTTTTTTTATTTTTGAGACAGGGTTTCTCTGTAGCTTTTTTTGTTCCTGTCCTGGAACTAGCTCTTCTAGATCAGGCTGGCCTCGAACTCACAGAGATCCGCCTGTCTCTGCCTCCTGAGTGCTGGGATTAAAGGCGTGCGCCACCACCGCCCAGCTCATTTCACATTTTTAAATTTTAGTTCTCTCCTTATATTTATCCAGTTGGGAAATCTTTAATTTTTCTTTTTGCTAATTCCTTGCTCTTTTTGTTTTCTCTACAGAATATTTGTTTCCTTTCCTCTTCTCTTTGCTTCCTCTATTTCTCCCTTTTCCTTGCCTCTTTCCTTTATCATACTTATTATTTCTATTCTAAGTAATTACAACTTCATGGCATATTCAATTAGTAGTTGTACAATGTGCTTTGAATTGGTTTAGAAATTTGTAATACAAGCCGGGCGATGGTGGCACACGCCTTTAATCCCAGCACTCGGGAGGCAGAGGCAGGCGGATCTTTGTGAGTTTGAGGCCAGCCTGGTCTACAGAGCTAGTTCCAGGACAGGCTCCAAAGCCACAGAGAAACCCTGTCTCGAAAAACCAAAAAGAAAAAAAAAAAAAAGAAAGAAATTTGTAATACAATTAATTCCCTTTTGTCATATCCCCCTGAAGTAGCAGAATTCATAGTTGGACAACAGTGTAAGAGACTTTCTGGGCCAGTCTATACACCATTGGCAGGAGGCAGAGAAAGCAAGTAAGAATTCAGCAAATTTCTAGAAGACAATGGGCTTTGACTTGGTGAGCTGGAGGAAAAGATCCTGTCGGGGAGGTGGTAAGAGTGGATCTTCAGAGTGGGGAGAGCTGGAGCTCAGCAGTTCCACCTTGCCTAGCAAACAGGACACCAGTGGGTGTGGCCATCATTTGCCTTTTCTCAGACTGCATCATTTACAAAGTTGGGGGCTGTGGTGACAGTGATGCACTCTAAGGAGCAAGATGGTCATTCCCACGATGCCTCACTGGTGTGTACCTCTACACCTCACCTCTCAGAAACATACCTCTTCCCTTTTGAGATACTATGTGATTTTGAAAACTTGTTGTTTTATTCTTTTTTTCTCTGGTTCAAACTTTTATTGTTACTATAGAAACCTAGAGGCTGGAAAGATGGCTTAACAGTTGAGAGCACTTGCTGTGCTTACAGAGGAACAGAGTTTGGTTCCCAGTACCCATGTACTCACAACTGCCTATAACTCCAGCTCCAGGAGAACTAACGCCCTCTTCTGCCTTCTTAGAGCACTAGCACTCCCGTGTACCCTTCTCCCTCATATGTGTAACTTAATGTAACTTAAAATAAAATGAAAACACAGTAACTCAATCAAAAGGAATGTGTTTGTGGAAATGGGATTTTGTCAACGCCAGAGTCCTACCTACTGATCCTTCTATTGTACCTGTGTGTCTGAACTGGTTAAGTCTTGGAGCCTTAGTTGTCTTCAGTGTAACACTGTAAAGGGAATAGTACCACCACTTTGGTCATAGGGAACCCAGTGTATGTTGTAGTTCAATCTCTGTCCTTAGGAAAAAAACAAACAAAAAAACATGTTGAGTTCATCCCTATAGAACTTAACTCCAGGCCTTGCCTGAAAACGATGTCAACTTGTGAAAAAAACTCAAAAAACATGCATGCGTGTGTGTGTGTGTTTGTGTGTACATGTTTGAGACAGTACCTCACTGTGTGTGTGTGTGTGTGTGTGTACATGTTTGAGACAGTGTCTCACCGTGTAACCCTACAGAGCCTGGAGCTCACTATGTAGATCAGGCTGACCTTGAACTCACAGATCCACTTGCCTCTGTCCCCTTAGTGCTGTGATTAAAAGTGTGCACACCATGCCCCAGCTTCAGAGGATATTGTTTACCTGCATTAGGACCTTTCAGGCACTTTCTACCACACATTAATGTAAGAGTTAAATAATGCAATTCATATATTTAGAAAGGTCTGTTACATCACAGCAAGAAGGGTCCACTATCTTGATCGGGAGAAATGCTGTTCTGCTTCTCTTAGACATTGTTGGCTATGAGTTGCTCAAAATCAGTGACTGTGTTGTCTTAAGTCCTATTGCTCCTACAGTGTATTGATGGCACAGCAGGAAACTCAAGGCTTTTTAAAGAGTATTATGGTCTGTGTTATGGATGGCCTATTTAAAGTTTTCTGTCAGGTGTTTTGTGTCTGTTGTCTCTGTAAATTGTTTGTGATGAAGGCATTGACTGGTGAACGAACAGTCAGGCAGTAGGGCCACTTCTTAATTCCAGCTATGGTTTTCTTCTTTAAAATGTAAAGAATCCATAAATTGATTTTTGTGTTCTAGATGAGGAAGTGGAGGACATGTACCTTGTGGATTTCACACAGAAGATCATAGACAAGCGAAAAGAAATGGAGGTGCTTGGTGCTACTAGAGAGTCTGAAAATGCAGAAGAGAGAGATGATGATGAAGAGTTTTCTGAAAAAGACATACCTCCTCCCCAAGACCCCAGTGAGGAGTGGTGGGTAATATTGGAGCTTAGATCATTGTGAGCCCCCCAGACTTGCTTTGACTTTTTGAGAATCATTTTGCTTGATGGTATCACATCATGTTTTCTTACTCTGCCTGGGTTTTCTGTGTCCTGAGAACCACCCCCTCTAAGTTGGGATGAACTAGTGTTGTATAGATTGTATAGATTTAAGCACATCAGTGACTGCAGATAAGAACTGAGCATCTACTGTGCCCAGTGTGGTGCCAGGCCCACAAATCCTTGCGCGGTGCATCAGTGTCCTGCTCCCTTACTACATGTCCTGGTTCAGATGTCAGGTCCTGGGAAGTGGTCCCTTTTGAGTCCTGCAAAAGAAACTGGCAGAGTAGGCACAGTAAGCTATAGCCTAACTACATTCTTTTCTGGTATTGAAGCGTGGGTTCCAGCACTGCCTTCTGCCTGTGTGGACTTGATAAATTTGTAGTTTCTCTGAGGCCTAGCTTCCTTCCATGGAAAGTAGAGATGCAGTGCTTCAGTGCACAACTATTTCCCTTAAATTCCCTCATGGAAGCAAGTGTGTTCCATTCTGGGGCATAAGCAGATATTTTGCAAAGCTCCGTTATTGATATTTTCCTGAGTTTAACCTGTACATACATAAAGGATAGAGGAATCCAGCCTTTTATAGATCAGATTGCAAATTCCGTAATGGTGTCTTTTATGCCACTTAGACACTTATTCAGCAGACCTTGCCATTGCTTAGACATCACTGATGTTCTTGTTTTGGGGGATTTCTTAGAAGCTGCTCAGGACTGTTTGTAGATTTCTTAGCCTTTTGCTAACTCCTTTGGACAGGTATTAAGCATAAATAAGATGTTTTTACTACTGTAGATGGCAGAGAACCTTTCTGTTCATAATATGGAAGGTGTCTACTGTGGTCCATACTTTCTTACCTTTTAAATAACTTAAGTCTAAAGTTAAGAGACTATTGTGAGGGTAGGCATATGGCTGTATGCCACATGGAACCACAGAGAACGCAGCCTTTCTTCATCATTTGTAGTCTAAGTACTTGCTTCCTCTTCTGAACTATTTTTTGGGTCTTACCCTTTATTTATAGTTGACCCACTCTAGATCTTATTGTCTGCAAAACATCTGAGCCATACTTTTGCTTGTCTGGTTTTTGTTTGTGTGTGTGTGTGTGTGTGTGTGTGTGTGTGTGTGTGTGTGTGTGTGTGTGTTTTTAAGACAGGGTTTCTCTGTGTGACAGGTCTGGCTGGAACTTGCTCTGTAGACCAGGCTGGCCTCAGACTCACAGATATCTGCCTGCTTCTGCCTCCCAAGTGCTGGGATTAAAGGTGTGTGCCAACACTTGCCGGTTTGCTTGTTTTTATACTCTGCCTAAATTGTGTTTTCTGGCCTGCACCCCTCCTGTTTCCCTAGATCCCTGTAGAGCTAGAGTACTCAGCCCTCCGTGGATCACCCAGCTTCTCCAGGCTTATGCTGGGACTGTTCAGTAAGCAGTTGCTGATGAGCTAGAGCCATTGCTGACTACTGTATTCCCTTGCTGGTGTTCTGTGTGTTTTGGAGGCCTGCTCCAGAACAGAATAGCTGTGATTGCTTTTCAAGGCAGAAATCTCATCTCTTTTGAATGGTCTAATGTCTTTTATTTATTTTTCTTATTAATGCCTGTATGATTACAAGCAATTTGTCAGCAATTTGAAGAGTTTGGAGGGCAATTGAAGGTGTTGCATGATACCATATGGTGCAGTAAGACGCAATGCAAGCAATTCCCACACTTTTTTTTTTGTTTTTGAATTAAGCTCCAGAATTGTTACTGCTTGTAAATCCTTTTGTTAATTAAATTCCAGGTGGTGGAAAATCTTTTTGCAAAAATACTATAAATAATTACATGGACCATCTGGTTAGATTCCCCTCCTCATTCATTAAAAAAAAAAGGAAAATGAAGTTGCTGCTTTATATAGTTGTAGGTTTGATTTCTTCTGACAGTCGTCTGTAGAAGTGGATTTCCAAGTGTTTGGTTTTTAAAACATGGGCTGACAAGGAAATCGGCATCACTTGAGAAGAAAGAAATTGCAGGCAACAGCAGAGCTAGCTGAGTCCGACCTTTATCACTTTGCTAACTTTCTTTACAGCCTATAGTATGTGCTTCATTGTGTGTTGTGCCCTCTACTCCAGACTATGGGAGATTCCTTGCCTATGATAGCAAATATAAAAAATCTGTTGCACTGCCAGGCAGTGGTGTCCTTTAGTCCCAGTACTCGGGAAGCAGAGGCAGGCAGAGCTCTGTGAGTTCAAGGCCACCTAGGTCTGTAGAGTGAGTTCCAGGACAGGCTCCTAAAGTTACGCAGAGAAACTTTGTCTAAAACAAACAAACAAAATTCTGCTGCACCATAGTACAAAGGAGATGTTTTCTATGACTACCTGCCCCTACTTTGTGTTGTTAGGAAATCTCAGTGTTTTGTTTGACCTTACTGTGTGCTCAGCTTGCCCTGTTTCCACTGTCTGCTTTGGGCAAAGATGAAGAAGGGTATATATTGTTTGTCTTGTTAATTAAAGTGGGTCCAAAAATTACATGTCTTACATTAAGAAACTCCTAAGATTGCTGGAAAGAATGTGTCAATTAGAAGTAGAGCAGTAATAGAAAAATTGAGGTTTTTGTGGAGGGCACAAAAAACTTATTGGATGTCATCTGCTAATTAAGAAGCCTATTCTCTGTGTTAGTGGTCCCTTGGCTTCAAGGTTCTTGGTAACAAGGTATGTAACGGCATTGCTTCTTTAAAGATTAACTGTCTTCCCAACTTCTCACTTTCAGGGTGGATTATGTGGACTCTTTGGGCCGATCCCGGCGCTGCATGAGAAAGGATTTACCAGATCTATTGGAGATGGATAAAAATCTTCAGGGAAGACTGTAAGTTTAAAATGTGACCTGTGTTTGGAACACAGCCATGGGAATTGTCTTGTGGGAGAGGCTTCTCACTATTTGTTGCTCTGCTCTGTTAGGATCTTTAATGTGTAAGACTGTTATATACTGAAGCCTGTAATGTTTAATGTATTCAGACACTCATAACTTACCTGAATGCCATTATTATTTATTGATTTTCTTTTCCTGAAACCTGTTTTTGAGGGGAGTAGTGGGAAAATGAATGACGTTATTTCCTGGGCTGGCCTTGATCTAGGTTTAAGTGATTCTTCTGACTTAGCTTCCCAGGCAGGCACTCTGTTCTGGTCCTATAAATTATAATTGCTGAAAGGGATGAGTAGACTGTTGAGTAGGATGTCTGATCTAGGTCACAAGTACAGAATGAGCCCAAACCTAGCTAACAAACCAGCCTTTATGGATAGAGGGATTTGAGAAGGTTCACTTGCTTTTATTCACTTCTTATTTATGTGTCTTTGTATATTGAATCAAAGGCTTTGTGATTACATTTCTAATGGGAACCAAAGAAATAACATTCAAAAGTATCTTGGTGGTTAAAATTCCATATAGCCAGCTTTTATATGAGAAATATTGGAAAAGCTCCACCTGTGTGAGCCTTCCCATCTTAGGCATCCTGTGAGTAAACACACAGAGGCCACAGCACAAACCATGACCACCTGCTGGGACAGGGAACTCTAGCAGTGTCCATGTCTCTAGACCAGAGGCCATTCAGAGAAGGCCAGTGGTTCATCCTTCCTAGCTAGGCCACTTTCCATATGTCAACCAGGACAAGTATAGAAAGGAAAGTTGGTTGTCTTGAACACTGAGGCAAGATCCTATCATACTCATCTATAAGTCTGGTAATTAATTGTTGCTGTTTCATGGCACTCACCTGAACATAGGTTTCTGTTCCTCTACTAGTTTCGTTAGTCCTGCTAATGAAAAAACTTTATTATCTGAAGACATGAGGAAAGAACTTCAGCGCCAGCAATGGGAAGAAGAAGAAAGGGAGGCTCTGAAAAAGCCAATGGGGCCTATCCATTATGAAGACATTAGGGAAAATGGTATTGTTAATTGGGGGGGAGGGGGTATTTGTGTTTGTGTGTGTGGTGGTGGGTTTTTTTGTTTGTTTCTCTCTAGCCAGTAAGCACAAAGCCAGGTACTGACAGCAGCACCTCTGATGCAGTGAGACTGTGCGTTGGAGGGTGAAAACATCCTCTTGTCCACAGCCTAAGAAACTTAGGTGCCTCTTCCTAACATGTCTGTTAGCCTAAGAATTTGTTCCCAGAGAGAAGAGGATACAGCCAGGGCCGAGTAGCCTGTCTATATGTTTTTTTACTTAGCCATTTGACTTTTTTGTTTTTTTCTTAATCAATTTTTTTTTTAAATTAAACTTGTGCTGATATCACTGTGTGTCTCTTTTGGTTTGTTAGGGAACTTGCTGTAAATGTGGTTTGCTAATCAGAGAAATCTAATGTTTTGATATTTTTGATTACTTCAGAGGCCCGACAACTTGGTGTTGGATATTTTGCCTTTGCCAAAGACAAAGAGTTAAGAAACAAGCAAATGAAAACTTTAGAGATGCTTCGTGAACAGGTATAAGTTAAATTTAAGGTTTTTGTTATAGGTTTGAATAATTTTTTTATTGATTGGTCATGCTTTAAAAAATGTAGTAAATCCAGATATGCATGATCAAGCATTGGGCAGAGAGAGAGTCCAAACTGAAGATCTCCATTAGGTACCTCCCCTTGGCTCAGGAAGCCCCTTGGAAGAGAGGGAGGAACAGTGAGGAAGAATGGGAGCTAGAGGGATTGAGGACACCAGAATACCCAGTTCACAGAATCAACTAAGCAGGACCCCTGTATCATGAATTCTAATTGGTCTTAATAATAAACACTCAGAGTCAGATAATAGGGGTTAATGCTGAAAGATCATAAAAGCAGAAAAGCCAGCCACTAGTTCTTACCTCTACTGAATCTCAGACCAAAGGGGCAATTTCTGTCCCTATGAATCCTCAGACTGAATGCTCTCTCTATGAAACCTCAGGCTTAATCTGAGCTTTTGTCTCCTCCCGCCATATAGTCCTCTCTCCACCCAGCCATATTACTTCTGTCTCCATCTCCGTCATGCTGGGATTAAAGGCATGTGATTCCAACTGCTGGGAGTGCCTTTGTATAATCTCTGTTTCTCTTTTAGACAGATTCAATCTCGTGTAGCCCAGAGTGGCCTTGAACTCTCAGAGATCTGTCTGCCTCTGTCTTCTGAGTGCTGAGATTAAAAGTGTGTGCTACCACTGCGTAGCCCCTATGGCTAACTAGTGGTTTAGCTCTACACTCTGATCTTCAGACAAGCTTATTTGTTAGATCACAAACAAAATACCACTCCAGATTCATACAGGCTCACAGAAACTAAAGCAGCAATCACAGAGCCTGCGTGGGTCTGAACTAGGTCCTCTGCATATATATTATGGTTGTTAGCTTGGTGTTGGTTTTTTTGTTTTGTTTTTGTGGGAGTGGGGGTATCTCTGATTCTTTCATCTGCTCCTGGGACCCTCTTTTTCCCACTGGTTTGTCTCACCCAGCCCTGATATGAGGGTTTATGCCTAGTCTTATTGCATCTTGTTATGACATGTTCGGTTCACATCCATGAGAGGCCTGCTTTTTTTTTTTTAAAGGGAAACAGGAGGAGTAGATCTGGAAGAAAGGGGATTTGGGCCGGGGGTTGGGAGGAGTGGAAGGAGGGGAAACTTTTGTCAGGACATATTTGTATGAGAGAAGAATTTAAAAAATGTAGTAAATTGAAAATTGATATTCAGCAGGGCGGTGGTGGCGCACGCCTTTAATCCCAGCACTCGGGAGGCAGAGGCAGGTGGATCTCTGTGAGTTCGAGACCAGCCTGGTCTACAAGAGCTAGTTCCAGGACAGGCTCCAAAACCACAGAGAAACCCTGTCTTGAAAAACAAAAAATAAATTAATTAATTAATTAAAAAATAAAAATGAAAATTGATATTCAGAATGCCATTGTTGGTTACATACAGGCAATTATTAAATTTTAAATTATTGAGGGTTTTTCAACTCTAAAATTTTAACTGTACTTTGCTAGGTTTTGTTCTTATTAGTAATATATCTGTATATAATGTGTATGTGTCATAGCGTGTGTGGTGGTTAGAGGACAACTTTAGGGAGTTGGTATCTCCTTCTGTCTCTGTGTTGATTCTAGGGATTGAACTCAGGTTGCCAGGCTTGCATCATTGCCGCATGCATCTTTACCCACTGAGCCATCTTGCTAGCCTTGCTGTTTCATTATTACTATTATTATTTTTTGTGTGTGTAAGCTCTGCGTGCATCTGTGTATGTGTACCGTATGCACACATGGCTTCTGTATAGGACATTGAACCCCTAAAACTAGAACTATGGATAGTTGTAAGCTACCACGTGGGTGCTAGCAACTGAACTTGGGTTCTCTGCAAGAGCCACAGTATTCTTAACTACTGATTCCAGCTCTCAGCCCTGCTGTTTTAAGTCTAGCTTCAAACATAGCATTTTGGGATGATCTGGGTGAGGAAATAGGAAGCTGTGTTAAGGGATTAAGGAGCAGAAGAGAAATGAATGGCTTTCTTCCATGTGGAGGCTTCCATGGGGCTCTATGAGTTCTCATTAAGCTTCCTAAGGACAGTCCTTTTCATAGGCTACCATTTTCAGGGTTTTGGGGAGAGCTGCTTAGATGTGCTGTTAAAATTAATTAGCACTCTAAAATAAAAAAAAGAATTATTTCATCATTTTAAACAGAAATGTGAATTTGACTTCGAGTGAAAAATTTTCTAATTTTTTGTTCTGTTCAGACAACAGATCAGAGAATAAAACGAGAAAACATAAAGGAAAAGCGGAAGGCTATGTTAGAAGCAAGACTTGCCAAACTTCGACAAAAAAAGATTAAAAAATCAAAGGAAGATGGTACTGAAGAAGAAAATAGAGGTATTTCATTTCTTAAATTTCTGACTTTCACAGGGAAAGCTTAGATCTCTTGGTGTTCACTAATAGGATTGCAGTGTAGGAATCAGCAGCTTATTCTCTAAATTTCACGTGCCTTTGAAATACCACCAGGAACAGTTTTTATTGCTCTTAATTATTTTATTGCTCTTAAATATTTCCATTGACTTATTTGTTAATGTATGTGGTGTGTGAGCGAGTGTGAGTGAGCATGTATCAAAACACAGGTACGGAGATCAGAGGTCAGTTTTCAGTAGTTTGCTTTTTGCTTTCTCTGTGAGATCCCTGGTTCAGAGTCAGGTCATCAGGTTCCTTAGCAGGCACTCTTACCCACTGAGCCATCTCACTGTCCAGGAGCAGTTTTTATAGCTAGAATGGTTTGGAATGACATTGTCATGTTTTTAGGCAATAGACAAGATGCATTGAGTTGCTTCTTATAATGACAATTTAGTAAACCAAGACTTAAAAGTTTGGCTGTGTACATATATAAGAAATAAAGTTTTTAAGTTTAAAAATATAGACAAAAATATAAAACTACATATTTGGGGGGTGCCATGTGATGTTTTCCATAACTGCATATATTATGTGATAAAAATCAAGGTAAAGGTGTGACCAGTTGCACAGAGTTGTCCTCTGACCTACATATGCTGTGGCAGTCACACCCACTCGCATAGAGAAATAAGTACTAATGTCTGTCTAATCAGACATGCTTGCTGCTCCCATTAGCATTTACTTCAAAATTAGTGTTATATATTTATTTTTGGTTTTTCGAGACAGGGTTTCTCTGTGTAGCCCTGGTTGTCCTGGAACTTGCCCTGTAGATCAGGCTGGCCTCAACTCAGAGATCTACCTACCTCTGTTTCTTGAGTGCTGAGATTAAAGGCATGCGCCACCACCTCCCAGCTTAGTATGTTGAATTTTAAACCCATGGTAATAAGGTCTATTTTCTTACAAAACTAGGTGGAGATGTTACTGTGCTTTTGCCATCAGAACCAAAGGCTGTACCTGCTCCACCTCCTGTGGCCCAGAACAGCAAGGTAGAAGTCATCATCCAGGAGCGGAAGGATACCAAGCCTGGAGTGCCACACATCCGAGAGTGGGACCGAGGAAAAGGTAGGGTGGAACTTTTAGGTCTGAAACTTGCTATGAGGCCCTTGGAAAAGTAGTTTTTGTTTTAAATCAAAGTAAGATTCTGGTGCGATTTTGTTTTTATTTTTTTATGGTGTAGAGTTGGATCCGGGCCTTACACATGCTAGGAAGAGTTCTACATCTAAGCTCCACCGTCAGCTCCACAGGGAGTCGTAGTGTAGTACTCCTGAGGCTTAAGGAAGTCTCCAGGTCTCCCAGCTTGTTTCTTCTCCATCCTGGATGCTAGTTGTTTATACAGGGAAATGGGTAAGATGTGATCACAAAAGACCAGCATCTGCGAAGGCATTCTGTCCACAGAATGAATACATTTCTGAAAATTACTTGGCAAGTTTAAACCCTCTGGAATGTAACTTTTCAGGAACTGCTTTTAAAGTATGCTGGAGACTTGGTGTTCTGAGGTACTCTGTCTTTAGCCATCCTTTGTGTTTGAAAGCTTACCTAAGCTTCCATTGTGCATGCACGTCTTTCTCTAAGTTTTCACCAAGGTGCCCACCACAGTCTTCACTGCAGCAGACTGTGTTTTATGCCTGTTTCAAAGATACTCAGTGGAACCTTAGCGCCTGCTGTTGGGACTGACAAGAGAAATCTAAGAGCCACTGTTCAGATCGGATGAGTCCCTTCTGTGTCCTCCAGAACTCAACAAATGACAGACTGCTTTGATGTGAAATGCCTACCATGTCAACTTCAGCAAATAATTGATTATTTCATTTCTCTGTAATTGGAGTGCCCTTTAGGCAGTTGTGGTCCAGAGCATCTCTACAGACTTTTTTTTTTTTTTTTTTTTTTTTTTTTTT